ACTGGAGATCTGGGAGAGTTAAGGGATGGGGAGAGGACTGCAAGCATTTCTGTCTGAGAGACAATAAGACTGGTGACAACACTCCCCATGCTAGAAGGATTGAGTGAGACCCAAGCTGTTGTTCAGATTGCATGTACAGAAATGACTGAGGCTATCCAAGTACAGGAGCAAGATTTCCCTGACAAGTCCAAGGTGCCCAGTTGCTATTGGGACCTAAAGGAGGTTTTTTAGTAAAGCCAGAGCCACTGCCCTGCCACCACATAGGCCTAATGACTGTGCTATAAACTTGGTACCTGGCCCATTCCCAAGGGTCGCCTCTACTCTCTTTCCGGACCTGAAAGGGAGGCCATGAACAATTATATTGAGACCTCCTTGCAGGCCGGACTCATTCGCCCTTCCTCGTCACCGACGGGAGCGGGCTTTTTCGTAGACAAAAAGGATGGATCACTCCGGCCCTGTATAGGCTACAGCCCTCTGAACAAAATCACCATCAAAAACAGGTACCCTCTCCCACTCATCTCCTCCGCCTTTGCACTTTGGCAAGACGCCAACATTTTCACCAAACTGGATTTAAGGAATGCTTATAATTTGGTGAGAATCAGGGAGGGGGACGAATGGAAGACTGGATTTAACACACCTAGTGGACACTATGAGTACCTAGTGATGCCTTTTGGCTTGACAAACGCACCGGCAGTGTTTCAGGCCCTCATAAATGAGGTGTTGGGGGACTTCCTGAATAAGTTTGTGTTTGTATATCTAGATGACATTTTGATTTTTTCTCCTGACAACATAACCCACCAGCATGTCCGTCTAGTCCTCGACCGCCTGCTACAGAACCAACTTTATGTTAAAGCAGAGAAGTGCGAGTTCCATGTCCAAACCACATCGTTCCTGGGTTTCATCATTGCCCCCGGTCAAATAAAGATGGACCCTGCCAAGGTCAGTGCCGTGGCAGAGTGGCCAGTTCCTGTCAACAGGAAAAAACTACAGCAGTTCCTGGGGTTTGCACATTTTTATAGACGTTTCATCAGAAATTTCAGTTCTATTGCTTCCCCGCTACATGTACTTACCTCTCCTCATGTCCCTTTTGAATGGAACTCCAAAGCTGCTAATGCTTTTCAAGGCCTAAAGGAGATGTTCACCTCTGTTCACCATCCTCACCATCCCAGATCCACTTCGACAGTTCGTGGTAGAGGTGGATGCCTCTAACCTCGGTGTGGGGGCAGTTCTCTCTCAGCGGGCTGCAAAGGATAATAAGCTCCATCCCTGCGCTTATCTCTCCCGTAAGTTGTCCCCAGCGGAAAGGAACTACGACGTGGGCAATCGTGAACAACTGGCAGTGAAACAAGCCATGGAGGAGTGGAGACATTGGCTAGAGGGGGCCGCTCAGCCGTTCCTGGTATGGACAGACCATAAGAACCTCGAATACATAAAAAAGGCTACGAGACTGAATTCACGCCAGGCTAGATGGACACTTTTTTTCAGTCGTTTTGATTTTACCTTGTCATTTAGACCTGGCTCCCAGAACACCAAGCCAGATGCCTTGTCCCGTCTGTTTGACCCTGAGCCTGCTGCCAAGGAACCAGAACCCATCCTACCACTGAACCGTGTGGTAGGAGCGGTAACTTGGCAGATAGAAAAAGAGGTGCAGCAAGCAAATGTTGAGAGCCCAGCACCTAGTGAGTATCCGCCTAATAGGCTGTTTGTTACAGTGCCCTTACGCTCCAAGATCATTTACTGGGCTCACACGTCCTTGCTCACTTGTCATCCTGGGGTTAGAGGAACCATGTTTGCACTTAAGCAGCGTTTCTGGTGGCCGTCCATGACTAAAGATGTTGGTGAATATGTGAATGCCTGTCCTGTTTGTGCTCGCAGCAAAACTTCTTCCAGGTCTCGGGCCGGGTTGCTGCAGCCATTGCCCATTCCTCAACGGCCCTGGTCTGACATATCCATGGACTTTGTTACTGGACTCCTGGTGTCTCAAGGTAATACCACTGTGCTAACAGTGGTAGATCGTTTTTCTAAAATGAATCATTTTATTCCATTGACCAAGCTACCCTCGGCCAAGGAAACGGCAGAAATGATGATGGTCAATGTGTTCCGGATACATGGATTTCCCAGGGATATTGTGTCAGACCGGGGCCCACAGTTTGTTTCCAAGTTCTGGAAAGAGTTCTGCAGTCTCATTGGAGCCACCGCTAGCCTTTCCTCTGGGTATCACCCCCAGTCCAACGGAAAAACGGAGAGATTAAATCAAGTGTTGGAGACATGTCTGAGGTGCTTGGTGGCTCAGAATCCCTCATCGTGGAGCAAGCATCTAACCTGGGTGGAATACGCCCACAATTATTTTCCACCTCTGCCACAGGTCTGACTCCCTTCCAGTACGTCTTTGGCTACCAACCACCCGTGTTTGCTGAGACTGAAAAGTAGGGGTGCAACAACTAATCGACTTAATCGATTACCAAATTAGTTGCCAACTAATTCAGTCGTCGATTCGTTGGTGACGTCATCACATGTGTTTTACGCGCCGTTAAGCTCCAACGTTATTGGTCTTTTTATCGGTACTGGAGACATTTAAAATATATATGTCATGTATCATTGCTACAAAAACATTATATCGCAGTCTTAGTGTCGCCAACTCGTTTCTAAAATGCAAAAAGACAAACAAATGCGTCTGATGTATTTTCGATCAGACGAGATCTCTCTCCCCCGTCTGCGTGCGAGGGGGCGGGGCAGTTTACACACACGCAGCTGCTACATGCAGCAACACACACACGGAGGAGATGGCGGAGAGAACGCGCTCCGAGGTTTGGTTAAACTTTACCCGTCTCGATGTGGAAAATGCTCGTTGTCAAAAGTGCAATAAGAGTTTAGCATACAAGGGCGGTAACACGAGCAATTTGTCTAAACATTTAGCAAAAGTGCTCCACATTCAGACGGAGGAATGCACCGGGTTCGACTGTGTTTCTAGCAGCTCTGTAGCCCCATCCACGAGTAACGTTTCCACGTCAGGTATTATGTATGCTAGCAGCAACACATGGAGTTAACTACATTATACAAACTTGGGTTAATGATTAGAGGTAACTGAGTTATTTAGTTTGTTAAAGTTTCAGCTATTCTGTTTACAGTTCTGTCATCAGATTATTTAATACGATTTGTTAAAACACTGTTGTTTCTTTTGATGTGAAATATTATTTATTTTATTTAAATAAAAAGCAATGTTAATTTTGTTCAAAATGTGTTTAGTTAATTTAATAATATATGTATTTTTGAATCAAGTATTCATCTTTATTCATTATTATGCGAGCATAATCTTTTAATGTTTATTTTATTAGCTTTTCTTTTTAATGACTGATTTTAAATGCCATTTTCTTAATGTCTTTCATTTTTTGTTTTTCTTTTAATGTTTCTTTTATTATCTTTTACTGTTTTTAAATGCCTTTGTCTGAATGTCTTTTTTTTGTAAAGCACCTTGAATTGCCTGGTGCTGAAAGGTGCTATATAAATAAACTTGCCTTGCCTTGCCTTTATTGTCTTCATTGTTAGTTTCCACATGCCTAAAACAACCTCAAGCTAAATCTAAAAGTTGATGGCTAAATAAGAGCGTTTGAGAAATTGTGCAAGGCATACAGTAATAGTCCGGATAGTCGATTAATCGTTTCATTAATCGATTATCAAATTAGTCGTTTGTTGCAGCCCTAAAGGAGGTCTTGGTCCCTTCTGCACATGCCCTGGTCAGACGTTGCCACCGCATCTGGGCGGCTGCCCGTCGAACCCTTCTAAGGAGTTCTTCTTCAATGAAAAGGGGGGCTGACCGACACCGCCGGCCAGCTCCAGTGTACCAGCCTGGACAGAAGGTGTGGTTGTCCACGAAAGATCTACCCCTCCATGTCGCTTCAAGAAAATTAGCCCCCAGGTTTGTTGGTCCCTTTCCAATAACGAAGATTGTGAACCCTGTGTCTGTGCGCCTGCGACTCCCCAGGTCCCTGCGGGTCCGCCCTACATTCCGCGTTGGGAAGATCAAGCCTGTCAAGGAAAGCAGTTTGGTGCCCGCAAGGCCGCAACTAAACCTCCGCCACCCCCCAGAATTGTTGATGGTGGCCTTGTTTATACGGTCAAGAAACTGCTGGCAGTCCGGAGAAGGGGATGTGGCAGGCAGTTCCTCGTTGACTGGAAAGGCTATGGAGCAGAGGATAGGATGTGGATCCCTTCTCGCGACGTTGTGGATCAGGAGTTGATCAGGGATTTCTACAGGCAACATCCTAATCTGCCTGGGCCGTCAGGAGACGTCCCTAGAGGGGGGGGGAAATGTGTTGACTCGACAGATATGTTAGGTTTAGTTATGTTTTTACTATAGTTTTGTGTTTTGATCTTGTCACTTCCTGTTTTTATTTTGAATGTAATCTTTCCTGTCATTCCAGATCCCACAGTTCCTGCCTTTGTGTGTTTCCCGCCCGTGAGATTGCTTGGCCCTGCCCTGATTGTATTCACCTGTGCCCATCCCCCTCACCTATATATAGCCCTGGTGTTTCTTTGTTCCTTTGTCAGTTCGTTACGTTTCATGTCGTGAGCACCTAGGCCTTTTGACTCCTGATACCTACCTTGAGATTTAGACCTTTTGCCAAGTGAGTTTTTGTGTTGCTGTACAAGTTAGTTTTGGCTGTTTAACTACTTTCTATTTTTTGAAAGTACGATTTAGTTTTTGTTATTAAAGAACATTCTATTTTTGGACAACTGTCTCCGAGTCCTGCTTTTGGGTCCTGTGTCTCGGTTCATAACAGTGTGTGTGTGTGTGTGTTGTCTTGAAGACTGTGACTGTGCATTCTAAAAACTTAAGTGAGTGTTCAGACTTCTGAAGCTTAATCTAATCAAAACCATAGCTTCTTACTACATTTGCGAAGGTTTCATAATTATAATTATAAATTAATTATTAATAATAAACACTGATGCATGGGTGGATAATATATTACACAGCATATGAAAAAGAAGTGGACACATTCTTTACATTTAAGGAAGGTTTTATTTATATACATACAGGTGTATATTTGTTGTACTATGACAACATATTTAAACTTTTGCAGAGTCAATTCAGATACATCTTATTTTAGTGTTTGTTTTTACCAAATGCTTTTTCCCCATCTGCATTACACATCATAAAGTCAGATTTTTTACCGCGGAGGCATTTAATTGAGTGATTTGGTGCTGAACACCATAACTAAAGCAAAAAACAGACCACAACCATGTTAGTCTTCTTTTTAAACTCCAAGCCCGCCAAAGTTTTTCACCCCAATCTGCTGCTGTCCACCTTCTGCTGTGATGCGACTGAGGGGAATGATCTTCATGGTGGTCTCTTTCAGGGAGTACCAGCGGTTGTGCCATGTGACCCAGATAATGCCGTTGTCGTAGCCGAATTCACCTGCATCCTTTTCTGTGTACCTGCCACCTATAGAAGAAAACACAGACAGCTTAGTGTGGACCTTTAATATGAATACATGTGCTTGGATATCGTTATGTGGAGGATAGTTGTTAATAAAATATATTAATAAAACCTTTAACATCTTAACAGATCATTTAAATGAACACCAATTAAAGATTCTGGCCCTGTTGTCTTACCCTGGTAGTATTTGCCGTTCAAATGTGCAGCATGACATCTGTTCATCCACCAGCCGGAGCCGTCCTGCTGAGCACAGTTGCCGTCGTACTTGTCATTGTCCTTGTCGAAGGAACTGAACTGCATGCCATTGTGAGAGGTGTAGAACTTGTCACTGGCATCATCACCAAAGTCAAAGCCATCGAAAGCATCTCCAGCATCACCGGCTAAGTAGTAACCGTATGTAAGACGGTACATGTCGCCCTCGGTTCCAACTCTGAATGTGGTGTAATCGGCATACCTGGAGAAAGATTGATTATTGTTAGTTTTTGTTGACTTCCGCTGAGTCCTTTTTTCGTTCTTTTAAGGAAAAATTAACTATCAGGGTCATGTTTGCTTTTCAGTGAGTCCCTTTGCTCTCCTCTTATGTAATCTGTTATCGTGTATACATACCTTGTGTTGCCTTCCCAGTCAACAAGCTCTATCCTCAGCACAGTCGGCATGGTTGTAGAGCCCGTCAGAAGATGCATCTTCTCGAGACCGAGCCAGAACTCTGTGGTGTCGTCTGGTGAGAGATATCCGAAGCCCTCCTTGTATTGGACCCAGTCCTTGTGGAAGTCCACACTGCCATCGCGTCTCTGTGGACAAAAAAAAGTCCTCAGTGTCATATGACGATACGATAGGTGATATGTAATCATCTTTGATTGTAGATGTACGTTTAATATATACAAATGTAGTTGTCCTGACTCAGAGTTACTGAGAGAAATGCAAAAAGTGTTGCAACCGTCCTCAGTCTATCCCTGCCGTGCAATTGAATGCTTTGGCTTTTTGAGTCAAGATGAATTGTAGCAACTCATTTCTTTCATATCATTTTGAGATATTGGGGGGAGGGTATCATTTCAAACAAGTCAAACAATGTTTTAATTACATTGGGCAAAGGCCTGGTGCTTTCAAAGATGAAAACATAAGGGTTTAGCGCCCCCATCCAACCCTAATCATTTTCATACGGTCTCTTATCAGTTGTTTGCTATCAGGACTGGAAGGTTGTTTTACTAGTAGTATTAGAGTATTAAGTAGTTGTAGTTCTCTGAGAGAAGACTCTGGGAATCATGCAGGGCCAGATGAAGGCAGTAGAGAGTGTTTTTTCTCAACATTTGTTCAAGTGAAACATACCCTCTGTATGACTGTGAAGCCACGTCCAAAGCTGTCAATCTCACAATAGACCAGGAACTGCTCAGTGGCTTTAGCTGGCTTCACATAATAAAGCCCACTGGTGGTGGCACCTTTGTTAGCAATATCCTGGCAGTCTGATGAACGAAAAATAAGGTTTAACAGCAAGACATAAAAGACTGTCTAGAGGTGGTTTTATTGACTATAAAACAGGATAAAATAAACACATATTATTTGCTGATGCTTATGCATTATGTCCACGCTTATTTTAAGCTTTAGAAAAAACCACTTTGAAATAAAGTCAATCTAAAATAAATCTGTTTACTTTACATTGATTTGCCTTATTGATGTTACTCTCTGACTAAACACTGAAAAAGGACAAATGCCGTTCAGATGAGGCATGATTGAGACATTTCTGGGAAGGTCTGAAGGTCAATGGATTGATTTTTTTACCTGATCCTGTGAGGGGCTGGATTTCAACTGAGTCTTTGCAGGGCTCAGCGCATTTCTGCTGCAGCTGCACGGAGAGCTGTTTCAAGTCTGACATTCTCTTCTCGTTGGATGAAATTAAATCCTGAAGTTCACTAGAAAAAGGGGAGAAAATGAGTTGTAGGAGCTTTATCCTGAGAAACTCGTGTAGTAAAAACAGTGAAGCTCAAATGTACAGTCTTTTACAAAATAGATACGACAAGAATAAGAAAATAGGAACAAACTAGAAGCAAAAGTAACACATGAAACACATTTGAAAAAGAAACTTGGAAAATAAGTGTTTTTTTCTTTTTAGAAGTGAGTTTGAGTTCCTGTGTCGAAACGCGAAAGAATAGGGGGCGGCCAATCGCACCATGATCTGTGCACAGTGCAAACTGTGTGGGCGAGAAGGGTTGGCGTGCATTGACCTGAAAGTGTGGGTGGCTTGGAGAAGTAAAAGTAGGTAAAAGTGTCACAAGAAAAAGTATAGAGTGGTTTCTTAGGGCTGAGGGATGAGGCGGAGAGGTTGTTGGTTTGTAAAATGTTCTCGAACTAGTATGAGGTGAAAACACAATAGAAGAAACAAGCAAGCTACTAATTAGTGGAATAGAAACAGTTAGTGCTACTTGAACAAACTTTTACGAAAGAGTAGGCAGGTACACTTCACACATCAAGATAACTCTACTACTCTATGTTACTGTAGGACCAATAATTGAACCAGATTTCCATCACATGACCTTTGTTTATAATTTCTGACTAGTTTGAGTTTTGCTTCTGTGAATTCACATTTCACATTTCGAAGTTTTCTCTTAGAAGATGTCACGTGTGGAATCTATAACAATGTATTTTGATTCACAAACTATGCATATGTTGTGGAAGAATTTTTTTATCTACAAAGTACCTATAGCTGTCTCATCAATTTATTTGATTTAAAAAGTGTATGAATACTAAAAAGTGCAGTCAGCTGTTTTGAACCAATACATTTTTGGCACATTAGGCAAAAATGGTCCACTAGCTATCTGTTCTGTGTGCGCGCAAACAAAACAAGGGTTCATGCCCAGCCCTGGCTTTGTCAATGTGCAACAAACTTATTGACTTGGACAGAGCCACCAGAAAATATTCCAGCAAATCAGCAAGAGGAGGCGTTGGTGCTTATGGCTACGACAGGGGGAAGGCCACAGATGTATAAAGAGAAAGGCAGTGGAAATGAGAGGGACGGTAAATGTTTAGGGGGGTATTTGCTTTGGTTGAGTTAAAATATTAACAATCTCCGAATTACTGATTCTACATTTAAGTAGCTTGGCACTAAGGTTTGATGTTAGATTGTATAACTTAAGTAATACTAAGGTGACTTACTATACTTGCTGTTCCTGTGTGATGATGGTCTTTTCAAACTGAACAACATCATTCAGCATATTCGATGATTTTCTGTAGTATGGATCTGAAATAAAAAGCCAGTGTCAGCGCTGATCTTGAAACATTCCCCACAGTCCTTTAATACTTTTAATACATTAACGATCAGTTACTTAAAGAAGATGACACCAGATGAAGCGTGTTACCTGGCAGGGTGGCCTTCTGAGCTGACATAGTAGAATCTTTCATGTAGACAACAGTTTCTTTGGCCTCTTGGGTCACATTGGCAATTGTTTCAAGTGTCTCTTGCAAATTGTCCAAATCCTTGTCCACATCCGGCATATACCTCAGCATGTAATCCGCCACTCCACATGTTGTAGGACAGTATTTTCCCTAAATACAGACAAAAGAAGTTCAAATACAACATTTATAATAGTTTGCCCATATATACAAAGACTTACAATCTATATGGCAAATAATACATCATTATTATTTGTAACATCATACTTACAAAGTCATTATCCATGTTGCATGATGCAAGGTTGTCTCCTCTGACTTCCTACACAGCAAAAAGACAAAAAAGAATTTGATGTCTGTGTTCAAGTACACGGATGAAAACATTGAAATTCAGTGACTTACTGCTGATGAGAAGGAGAAAAGTAACAGGAGACCTCCTGCTGTGAAAACAAGTGATGGAGCCATGTTGCCTTTTGCCACCAGTTGTGGTCTGGTCTTTTTGGAAGAATGAAGAGCAGCTCGACTCGGTGGGATATTTATCTGAACAAGGTCCTCAGGTCATTGTTAGATAAGAGGTTCATCTGCAAACAACCAACTCACTGTGTTGGGACAAATCTCTGACTCAAACATTTCTCAGATATGACGTTTTTCTACGGACAGATGTACGTGGGCCATCTGAAAATAAAATGCATACTTGTGTGAACCCAGTGACGGTAATGATGACAAAGAAAAGTGAAAAGACTGATGACTCAGCTTTGTACATTGTGAATTTTTTTCTACCAAGCACTTGTTGGTAAAAAAATGTTTTCATAGTGATTTGGTGATTTAAAGAAATTATCTTTTTACTTACTACGGCAAATTAGAAAATTGCGTGTTTAAAATTCCCTAGGACAAAATGTAAAAGATAACACTGCAGACTTCTTGAGGCTTGATACTAACAGTCAAAATGTATTTGATTAATTTTCTACAATTTAACTTTAACGGCTAAAATTCCAACTCGCAACGTTTTTTTCTTCCCTTTTTCGTTTCGCTTCAGAAATTCACCAGAGTGCAATGTTAAACTGCAGATTAAACAGTACTTGATATAGTTTTCGGCTGCATAAGTACATTGACAATGACACTGATCTATTTTTTCCAGGTGGTTAATCAACATGGTTTATATTAAATGACAAAATATGACTATGAGCGCTCAGGTTTCATGGGGACACTTTCTGGGAGTTTAACCACAAATTAAATATTTTTCTTTGCAAAACATTAATTTATTGATTTTGACTTCTTGATTGAAACAGGGCTGCACTGATGGGTAAGACCACCAGTGGGAGTGGAACCACAATAAGCCAAACAAGCTTATCAGTGAGCACACATTCAAAGTATATTCAAAGCATAAGCCTCTTTTGTCCCACACATCTTAGTTATAACTTAAACATAATTGGTACACTCTTTTCAGGATAAAATAAATGTATCCCCCTTGAAATGCTGCATGGAGATGTGTGTTGATTTGTGTCACAAAAGAAAGAATGATGAATATTTGGAGTCATATTAAAGGTCCCATGTCATGGCCATTTCTACTGATCATAATTCCATTGTTGAGGTCTACTAGAATAGATTTATATTGTGCAATTTTCCAAACTCACATTGGTTTCTCATACAGCACCTCTGTATAGTATGTGTATTCACTATTCACATGTCCTAAACGCCTTGTTGGAGCGCCTTGTTGGAGCTCCTGCCCCCCCCTCCCTGTGAGCCCACTGTGCTCTGATTGGTCAGCTCGCCCACTATGTTCTGATGAGTCTACCACTGTTACAGCGGAACATCAGTGATTATGCGTTAGCAACCAGAAAATGACACCAGTAATGACAAACAGATGAGAATGCTGCGTGGGGTCTGGGTGCCGTGTTGGCGGGACGTTGCGGGGCTCGCTGCTGGAGCGGACAGTGTGAGCTGGCTTACTGGTGTTGTTTCCTGGTTGCTGCGGGGCATCTGCGAGACAGCGAGACACAGCAATCCCAGCCTGAACCCAGCCCGAGCACACACACACCCACCTGCAGCCTGGCTGTGAGTCTGCGTGTGTTCTCAGAACGAGCCCAGGCCGAGGCCCACCGCGTCTCGCTTTCTCAGGCTGAGAAATCCGCCGAGCTGCAGCTGAGAAAAGATTGAGTGTGTGTGTGTGAGGAAGTCCGCGGATTGGCCCGTTACGTCACTATACCCAATACGTCACTGTACTTACTACACTATAAGAAGAAAACAATGGAAAAAGAAAAATCTCCAACGAGGCGTTCTGGGGCAGCATAAACAGGTATTTTCTGTGTTTAGAGTCTTACTCGCTACAGGGTGTACTTTGAGGGTTTGTGACTCTGCAGACCGTTTACATGCATAAAAAGCACAAGGGGACGGTTAATAACCGGAAAAGCATGACATGGGACCTTAAATATATTACAAAACGGATTTAGTAAATTTATAACATTTTAACAGAAAGTTAGAGGGAGATTGGCTTCAGAAAAATGCATCTAATTAAATAAAAGTGGAGGCAAGTGATGCGTTGTCGTAGGTTGTTGTTGAAGAACAGCTTCAATAGGACAAGTAATTCCAAATGTAAGGGGGTGAGTACTTTAATTAACATCTCTCTAAACACTTGAATAATCAAAAACAAGAATAAGTATTCATGACTGAGGTAATGTTCTCTGTGTTGGGGGAATTTGAGGGTTTTAAGAAAGTCACAAGTTTTTTTTTGGAACTGTTGTGTTACGGTGAGTGAAGCAGGCAGGACCCAAATGCAGAAAAAACTGAAAATACCTTTATTTCAAGGATATGGCACACGGACAATCAGAACACTCCCCGGTGAACACAGTCACAGACAAACGACGAACCAACCCTGAACACAGGAAGAGACAAGACTAAATACAGGGAGGGGTAATCACAAGACGAGAAACAGCCGGGCAGGGGAGGAGAAACACAAGGGCCACAGGTGAACACAATCAGACAACTAGACACACCAGGGAAACTAACGACAGGGAGGAAAAACCCAGGGAGAGGGACCAGATAATATACCAAGAGGAAAACATGACAGGGAGAACAGCAAAACACCCAAAACAAGACATACAAAATGTGACATAACACAATAATCCTAACATGTTGTTTGGTCACATAAATAAATAAACTGTTTGTGATATAATTCCCACAGTAGAACACAATCTAGTCTTTGATATTGAGAAATCAAATGTACACATAGTACATCTGAATTGCCAGATAATGTTCTTGATATTCGGGGTATTTTCCAATTTATGTAGCTGATGGGGTTTAGGTGGGTCTGGGTTCAGTGGGGTTTTGGATCACATTAGGAATTATATGATTTCTTCACTTCTGCTATTTTAAAGTGAGTGATATGAATGAGTAAAGAATGATATTTTGACATTTTAGACCGAGGAATGTTTGAAGTTCATATTGTTCAAAGCCAATTTACACTGGTTGTGTCACTTCAATATTTTGTATGCTGCAAGGTAATAACAAACCCAAATGGATAATATTTAGAAATTAGAGGATATTCTTCAGGACTCTAGGCAAACTACTCTTTATTACATCAAAACAAACCCCAAAATAAAACTTAATAAGGCTTCATCTGTGGGCCACATGTTGGCATTAGATGATAAATCGTGCCTTAACTACCTCTGTGTGACCTGGTTTTAAAAAACACAGTCCCAGGATGGATATAAAGCGTTGCTGACCTGAGAATGAACTGGCAGGCCCATGAACCCAAACAGTGCTGAACTGTTCCTGAACTGGCCTCTTTGTGAAGAAAAAAAACAGATGGAAAGAGTTTATTTCTTTTCAAAGTGCCATGAAGACATGGACACTCTCCAAACATCGTGTCCGGGATGTTGAGACGTGGCTTCAGCTGTTTTATATCGATGCAATCAGACAATGATGCCAGGTCACATTGTCACTTTGGGCGTACTGAATCAGAATGCAAAGCAACAGAGATGAAATTCAGAGTTATTCGTTTATTGCTGAATCATTGTTTTTGAAGAAACCGGAGGAAATACTTCAGTAATCAACTTAAGTTTAAGTCCTGAAAAACAATGTTAGCGTATTTCACAAGAGGTCTGACGAGGAATTAAACTTAAAGAGCCTTGTTAGGGTCCCCCATGTGTCAAGAGTCTGGAATAATTTGACCATGGTGTAAATCTCCCTCAGAGGGCAAAGGTTTGTTGTAATGCCACCAGGGTTGAACCTGTGGTCAGAAGCGGTAAGTCGACTGAGCTGAACGTAGATCAGCAGGAAAAACATGCAGCCAGTTTGACACTTTGTTTTCCACACACCTAATGTATTTCTCAAGTTTTCAAATGAAGAAACTGATGTTACTCTTAATGTAAGCTAAGATTTATTTTCCTCTGCTTTGCATTCCATGTTTAATTTCCTTACAACTAGTTTGGAGTGGGTTCATTAGGTCTTACAGTTCTATTTTCTGATGGATGTGTAACTGAAGCCTACAGGATTAAGGTTATCTGGTCAAAGAATGTTTTATCTTGTCGTACCGTTCCTTTGAGAAGATTCAGAACATCCAGAACAGTCTGATTTTTTCCAACACTGATCCCGATTATGGAAGGGACAGAACAAACTCGCCACTGTGAGTCAACTAAGTCCTCCGCACTTCATTGTCTGGAGGGCAATCAGCTTTATAGCCCAATTAGTTTCTCATAGCAGTGGTCTAATCACCAAAATGAACTAAGAAGGTGCACAATTCAAAAGAAGGCAGTTATTAAATTGACAACCATTTTTTTTTTAAACTTTGTATTTTATTTTTTATCAACAAACAGCCAGACAGACAACACAATAGCAGTTGGCAAACAAGTTAGGATGACAACAGTGTGATTTGAGTCCGACAGGATAAAAAACAGAGACAAAACAAAAAATAAATGAATAAAACAAAACAAAAAATGGACTAGGACAGGACAAAAAAAAACAAAGTCAGAATCTAAAGGCTCTGAGTCTAAGTCCATTATTAATACCATAATACAATTTAGAGATCAAATAATGTGTATAAATGGAACAAAAAGACCAAGTATATCAAATAAAATAAAAACACAGCACTTGTTGGTCAGTCAGCCGCCCGCTAATCACAGTTTAACACCGCAGGTCCACCACCCTATTGTACAGAGACATCCGGCATGTCCAGCTCCCGTATATACTTGTAGAAGGGGTTCCACATCTTGTGGAATTTCCCCAAGGAGCCCCTCACTATGCACCTTATTTTCTCGAGTTTGGCTGAATTTAGGACTTCTTTTAACCACGAGGTGTGTGAAGGGGATGTTGGAGACTTCCACATGAGCAATATCAGGCGTCTGGCTAGTAAGGTAACAAAGGCTATGAAGGCTGTCTCCAGAGAAGAGAGTGGGCATGTGGGTGGGGTTACACCAAACAGTGCAGTCATGGCATTAGGAGTGACCGGTTTTCCAGTAATTTCTGACAGTGATCTAAAGATGTCAGTCCAATAAGAGTGTAAGACCGGACAAGACCAGAACATGTGTGCGTGACTCGCCGGTGCTTGTCTACATCTGTCACAAGTTGGGTCCACTTCCTTATATATTTTAGAGAGCCTGAGCTTAGTGAAGTGTGTGCGATGTACTACTTTGCACTGAATC